GGTGGCAGCCTGCTCTCACCCCATGCACAGATCCAGGGGCACATCCCCCCTGGGAAGAGCCCACCATAGCCCCCCAGCCCGCAGCCCTCCCGGGGCATGCATAGCAGCAAAAGCCGTGCTCCCCTGCCCTGCACCCACTGACAGATCCATCTGCAGGTGGCATTGGCCATTGCCGGGGCTGCTGCAGCAGGGGCTAGGGTGAGTGAGAACATGCGGAGGCCTGGGGGGCACGGGGCACAGTGCAGCTTGTCTGCACTCATCCGATACCCTGCTGTAGTGGCCCCAGGATTGGCTGATGCCAGCTGTCTGCAGCTGCTGGGCTGCGCTGCACCCCAAACCCCCCAGGGCTCCACTTGTCCTGACTCACCCTAGCCCCTGGGCTGTGCCATACCATGGTGCAGGCAGCTGGCATTGGCCATTCCTGGGGCTCCTGCAGCAGGGGCTGGAGTGCACTGGGACAAGCAGCACTGTGTCGTGTGCCTCCCAGGCCTCTGCTTGTCCCCACTCATCTCAGTCCCTGCTGCAGCAGCCCCGGGAACAGCCAATGCCAGCTGCCTACATAATGGCATGGAGCAGCCCAGGGGCTGGAGTGAATGGGGATAAGCAGAACCCTGGGGGCTTTGGGGCATGGCACAGCCCAGTGGCTGCAGGCAGGTGGCATCAGCCACTCCCAGAGCAGCTGCAGCAGGGGCTGGGGTGAGTGGGGCCCTGGCTCCATGGCGCTTTCCCCTTCCCCCCACAGATTTACCTGCTTGGGTGAAAAGGGTGCACATCTATGCTGATCGCATAAGAGTGAATTTACTTGGCATATAGTGAATTTGGGGTATAAAAAAGGTCATCACCATGAATTCCACGTGCCCCTGGAGGCTGGGGGGGCACGGTGACTGCCCACAGGTGGTGGTGTCAGCAGTGTGGGTGTGGTGGCGGCGAGTGGAGAGCTCCTGTAGGTAGCCGTGGTGGTGTTGGTGGCAGGGAGTGGGTGGCGAGCGCTGACCACCCACGGACACTGCTAGCGGTGGCGGGGGGGGGGGCTGACGAGGGGCAACTGCTCACAGGCACCACTGGCAGTGTTGGTGGTGCTTTTCTCAGGGGTTGCACGGCTAATCTCAGGGGGTGCAGATGCACCTTTGTGCACGCCCTACACATTACCTATGGTCATCACATAAGAGCAAATTCACATATACAGAACCTGCATGAAGTGAGGGAAACCTGTAGATGAGTAAAAGCTTCCATTGTTGATTCCTCCCATATCCAATTCTGTTTTCATTTGCTGCTTTCACTTGGTTGGGCATCATAAGGTGAGTTGTACTAGTGAGGAGAGAGCAGGAAAGATTACCCAGCAGCCTGAGACCTGCTTTGAGGGTGGCCCTTGCTTTATTTACCAGCAGAGCTCTTGAAACTATCTGCAATAGCACCATCTGGTGATCTTCCAACAACCAGTATTTATTTTTATATCTTTCTTTCTCTACACAATACTCAAAATGTACCAGTTCAGGTTAACAGTTTTTTTGTTGAGAAAGAAAGGCAAGACCAGCCTGGTCCTTGCAGCTGTTTCTGGTCAACTTTTATTTAGAATGCTTGTGCAATGGCAGTTGACATGGTGTATCCACCTTTGTGTGAGTTGACTTCTTTGTGAATTATGGGCATTTATAGACCTGCTCTGGGAGGCGAGGAGAGAGGGAAATACTTTAATTAGAGTGCCTCCAAGAACAGCTTTAATTAAAGGGCCCAGAGTGTCACATGTATCAGCATTCCTGCACTGAAACATGGTGGTGGAGGCACTTTAACTAAAGCACCCCCCGCTGCCTTTTTTCAGCATGGGGATGCTGATGCACATGATGCTGGAGTCTGCTGGTGTACGGTAATTACCATGTGCTCTGATGCACTGTAATTACAGCACATTGGAACAGACTCAATGTACATGGATAGGTGCCCTTAGGTATTAATTGACGGGACTTCAAAGGTACAAAAAGGAAGGCATTGAAACAAATGTTTCAAAGTCCAGATTCAACAATGGGAATGAGCAGCCACAATGGAAGTTACGGAGGGGCAAACCTCATAAAGGCACTTACATAAGTAAGTAGGCACATCATTGTAAAGCTATTTTCTATGTTTGGCATCTAAGCCACCATGTCTTCAATGCCATTGTCTATGGGTTGGCATACTTACTTTCTGACATCAGTCAAGCCACTCAAAATGTAGACACCCCCCCTCCTCCAACAACTTACCCAAACCTAAGAGTAATAAAAATGAACTAAAATTTAAAAACGGCTGTTTAGTTTTTTTGGAGGAAAGTCTGGGCTGATTCTTATGCACTGGGAAATGTTATAGAAATTTCCAGTTAGGATGATATTGTTTTTCAGCTGTTGGAGAATTAAAGTATGTTTGGTAGGCATCCCTTCCTCCATAGAGCGCTTTGTATCACAACAGTTGGGTAGCTGAGGCAAGGGAAATAACCCAGGTAGACAGTGCTCTTGGTTCATGGCCATGCAAGCTGTTTTGGTGCACTGAGGCAAGGATTTCTTATGGTGATAACTTTTATTGAAGTAACTAAATAGCTGAGATAAAGTTAGAGAAGGTTTTTGAATGTAAGTTGTTCTTCCTCAGGAAACATCCTTGCCTACTATGTAGCAGACCCAAACATACAAACTACCATAACCTTGGTGCACCGAGACATTCACCCACCTTTTGAACTTAATCAATTTTCTTTAGTATTGCTTAATTCCTATGTTATATGTTAGGAGTAATTTGCAAATAAGACTCTTTTTTACCTTTCTTTTTGGATGCAACATTAAAGGTACTAACTAAGGGGTACCATGGGCTCTTTGGCTGCACTGAAAATCTTGCAAAGGAGAATTTCAGCTTTTGGAGAAACTGAAGTAAGGTTAAGGCAAAATTATCATTTTAATATATGGAACGTGTTTCCTCTGAAGCATTTATATTGCTGTATATTCTATGCTAGCAGCTAAGACAGCACCCAGATAAGATGTTTATTATACTAAAATACAAAAAACTTCTTGCAGGCTATATTGGGTGTTATTTTTATTATTCGGGAGGGAGCTATATTAAGAAAAATAATCTAAATCTTAAACACAATTTTCTGTGGCACTGTTCATTTTCAGCAACAGGATAAATAAAAAATTTTGAAAATACTATTGAAACTACACAGGGAAATTAAGAAAAACAAGGCAACAAAATCTGCATGTTTAAAACTGTACAACTGTGTGCCTGAGTCAGCACTGGCATTTTGAAGCAATATGGTAATTTAAAATCCATTATAATATAGATGTGCTTATGAGAGGGGTAAACTTTGCTTACTTACTAATTATCATGATAGAAAGCACTAGTTACAGAATGCTTCTCAGCTTGAAGCCTTCATTGGGAAGAAAGTGCAAATGTGGAAAGTTGCAAGTTGTCTGTACAGTTGCTACTCATTTAAAATTGGCAGTACTAAAAAGTACAAATACAAAACATTTTTAAACTTATATTGCTTATAAAGCCTCAATTTCACACTCATCCAAATGGTGTAGTACCATTTCCTGTACTATGAAGTACTAATCCTAATGGTAAAGCTGAAGTAGAATGTAGAAATCAAGTATTCAGTCAAGAGACTGAAAATGTTAACTTTCGTACTGAAGCATGGCATCACTACTAAGTTTGTAGTACTGACATAGCCCCAGTTATGCAGGTGCAAATATTTCCCGTGGAACACATGGGGAAAATATCTGATGTAGCTGATATACTGGCTTTTCCAATTCACATTTTCCTCATCTCTTCCAGGTGAAGAAATCTTGGAAAATTTCATCCCCATATTAATTTGCTTAAAAAAATTATAAATAACCGAAAAAGAAAAGTTAGAAACTAATTTGTAAATCAGTCTTAATATTAAAGTATCTACTTCATGGATACCAAAACTGTTTAGTTATCTTATAAGATGATGACAACTATAAATCACCACTGTGAAAAGTGGTGGATGATTATTGCAAAAAATAATCCAGACACTACCCACATTATAATTAGAAGGCCTTTTAATTATGTGCTATTCATTTGTTCATCTATTGTACAATGACTGAGATACATGCAGTGTTATTATATATAAATGAGATAAAACCAAGACATGACATTTCAGATCTAATTTAGAGCATGTTTATAGCACAATGGCAGGGGGCTCTTGTTGGGAAGATTCCCTATCCCTAGTTGTATTATGTATAACGAAGGTCTTCCAATTTAATTATTCCTGGGAACATGAAATATGAGTAAATGAGGCACATTATGATATAGTGTCTGTATAAATACCTGACATTGCAAGCCTTGAACTATCTATACCCTGCTTAATTAAACTATAATTATGTCTCTCTTTCTCAAGATTTACTTCCAAATTATGGATATGTAGCACTCAATTATACTTAAGACTCATATGTCAGTTTGGCAGATGTGAGTTTCACAAACTCCCTTGCATTGCCTTTTGAACAAAACTAAGTAAGCATTTTCAGAAAGAATAAGATACTTCAGAATGCTGCTAAGGCTATTTTGATATGATTTCCTTTCTGTCTTAGATAACATCCTTGATCATGTCCAGACGAATGCGGTTGTATGGTTTGTGGTGTCTCAAACGTGTCTGCAGCACCACAAACTGCACAGTCAGGTGTTCTCTGCACTGCAAAGGCACATGGCCCATGCATGCACTGCTCCATTTTTCCCCCCTGCAGGTTATCCAGGATATCCAGGGGTCAAAAAAACCCACGGAAAAGAAAAATGGAGGAGTACGTGCACGAGAAGCATGTGCCACTGAAAAGTGGAGCTGGGCCACCTGGAGCTGCACTGTGGCTGCCAGCCAGGCTCCACCCAGCAGGATCACCACTGTTGCAGCCCCAGGATGCCTCCAGAACCCCAGGTAAGTTTGCTGGGGCCAGCACAGTGCTGTCCCCAGCCTCCTGTACTGCCCCCAGGGTAACTTGTCACACGTCAAAGTGTGCATGGCATGGGTGTTCCCTGGGGACAAGTAGCAGTGGTGCAAGGTTTGCTGCTGCTACTTGTCCCTGGGGAACCAAACGTCCACTCTTGTCTGGATGCAGCACCTGAGAGTACTGTACTGTTCTGGTTATCTTTTTCCTTGAATAAATTTCAGAAGTGACTAAATCTGCTTGTGACCACAATAGCTGGGATGTTGTAGACCTTTCCCAGGGAAATGCTCTTCAGAATACCATCCACACTTGGAAACTTTGTACTGATCCCAGCCTGTTGAGGTGAGAGTGTTTGAATTGTCTTCACATTTGTGGATTGTAAAATGCTAATAGTAGTTGAGCTGTCTATGAGTGTATACCAGTACTTTCTGCAGCAACCAGGGGATTACTGGGACTTTCCTCCACATGTTGATGGAGTCTGCTGCTGGCTAATTTGTCAGATGCAAGATGGCAGTACAATTTAGAATGACTATGAGCTTTAGCTTTTAGACTGCCTTTGGTTTTCTAATTTCAATATCTTTCCAGTTATGTGGATAATTAGAATATTTAGACTCACAATAATAAAGATTAAAAACCAACAGGGGGCATATTTCAGGACAGCCAACTTCTATTTAATGGGAGTTAGAAAGAAAAAACATTCCTTTTCAGCAGAGTATTCCATAGCTGCAAGAAACCTTAAAATAGACATCTTACCCTAAGCATCTGGCATTGGACATCATTAGAAGGAGAATACAGGATTGGATTACTAGTCTGATTTTATCTGGTAATTGTTCTGTCCCTATTTTCCAACTCATATGATCCTTGTGTCAGTTTAGCCAGTTAAGACATGCAGTTCTATAGGAAGACTGAAAATTCAGAGCCCAGTGATGGAATACAGCCACTATAGTTCCTTTATTGCCCACAGGGTATTAGCTTGTTATATTGCTTAATTAAGTTTACAAATTTTTCGCCAGTTTTATGAGTACAAATAATTTCTTTCACTTTTTCCCTCTGCAAGTTGTTAGGGGTGCATTCTCCTTTCATAAAAAGCATAGAATAATATTTTAATAGCTTTTGTTAAAAATTAATAATGAATTAAAGTCTAAAGTGTTCTTTTAAAGAAGTAATTTCGTAAAGAAGTATTCAGAAAATCCTAATATATATATATATATATATATATATATATATATATCTACATCATACCATTGATCTTGTTTACTTCAGAAATCAGAACTTAAACTTTTTTCATACAAAGTGAAGTCCATTTTTGAGTTTTTGTCTTGGACTCGATGACAGCATTGACATTACAGAAAAGTTTATGTTCTTCTACTTACAATTAGACAGTTGGATGATTAAAAGCTCACATCAATGAGAGTCAATCCCTGATGGCAAATCAAGGGATTCTATTGACTTTCACTATGTAGTAGATCAGACCCATAAATGTCATAGAAACAAAGGTCATGGTTTCAGTCAGCTTTATGTTATTAATATCCTCTACTGTCAAAATTGCACTTCATTATACTTAATTTATTTGCAAGATGGTCCTCTGACATTTCCTTATTCATCTAGTTAATTATTAATATGAGCCTATGATAATATTAACTTTCTTTTTCATCCAAGTCTTTATCAGTAGGAATACAAGTGTGATGGGGAAAAAACAAGACTTATCAATAGAGAGGAATTTTGAAACTCAGCCTTTTTTTTTAAACAGCCTGGCATTAGTGTTTTATGAAAGAGGGGAAAAATAACCATGCATAAAAAGCCATGGGGTGAAGTACAGCATCTTGCTTCATCACAGCTGAGTGCATTTTATCAGTTAATAAAATACACTTCTTGATATCATTGTTTCACATGAGAAAGCACTTCCATCGTTCCTAAACCATAGGCTATGGGCAACAAACAGCTCATAGCTACAAGAAATTAAAAGATATTTAACAGGGAAAGCAAAGTATGATGATACTTGCCCTGTTGTTTGCTTGGCATTATGGTCCATAGGCTGCCCAAAGTTGGGGACCGGCAGTTAAAATGCATCCAAGAAAAATAATCTCCCAAATATTAAAGCTTTTACCTTAAAGAGATTTTAATTGCCATGCCTCAAGTGTGTGAAAAAGTTTTACAACTTTATCATCACAGTTGTTTGTATCATAATTTTATATTACAACCAGTATTCAGAAGGATATTTAAATGCCAAATGTTAACATGGGTGTAGGTTGTAGCTGTGTTGGTCTCAGGACATAGGCAGATGAGGTTCTTTGGGTGAATCTAATATCTTTTATTAGACCAACTTAAATAGTTGGGAAAATTTTTTTTAGCAAGCTTTCAGGTTTAAAAGCCCTTCGTCAGGCTGAGGAAGTTTCTGCAGTTGATGTGCTCTCTTCCTGGAATTCATTCAGGAAGAGCACACACCAACTGCAGAGACTTCCTCAGCCTGATGAAGGGTTTTAAAATCCAAAAGCTTGCCACATTATTTTCAACTATTTAAAATGTTAACATGAGACATTGCCTATAAATATTGGACCACATGAGATTTGGATAACATTCATTTACCAGGAAGTGAATGAAAAACTCTCACTCATTTTACATAGCCCATAAATAGTATCACTTTGGGGTCATTAGTAGCTTGCATCAGATATGATTAAGTGACATAGACCCTCTAAGCTCATTACTAATCCTGTGGGAACTAGCTGGTGCCAAAGAAGGTAGACTGAAATTGACTGCAAAACAGGCCAACGTGCAAACCTGAGTAGTTTGAATTTGGACCTGATTTTATGAAAGTGGTCCTTGTTTTATACAGAACAGACAGTACATAGCAATATATCATATGCTTTCCTCACTGTGACCTTTGCTTCCCTGAACTGATTATTTACCTGCAGTCTGTGCATATCATGGATTATTATCAGAACAATGTAACTGCTGCCAAGTTTGCATGATTTTCAAATCTCAAGGTCAGGTTGACAAAAGAACTCCCTTACTTACATAATTAAATAACAACTTATTTTCAAAAGGACTGTGCACCCAGTAGCTCTCAGTGTGTTTTCAATGCACCTTATTTACTGAGCTTTGTTGAAAATCTGGCCACCTAAATTGGTGTCTAAGTGTGAGAATCGTTCATCTGAATATGTAGTACCCTACAGTGCAAACTGTACCATGCTTTTGGGTTCCAGAAAAGTTGATAAAGTTAAACTTGCCTTTTTCCTAAAGTTGGGAAATTATACTGTTTTAAACCTGATTACACTGTTAAGAGAGTATCGTATTACATGAGAATAACTGTTGCAAGAATAAGAGAAACTATATTGTTAGCTACTCTGGGCCTCAGTTCTGGTGAATATTTTACTACCTTTTTGTTGAGTAAAACTCTAATTGCTTACCGTCTATAGCTGTTTGGTGAACAGAAGTTTACAGTTCTTAGCATCAACCCATTGATCAACAAAATGAATGGCAGTAAACAGTAGAACATTAGTAAACTCATGTTCATGAGGAAGCAGAAAGAAATGAGAGACTTACGGCTGGTGCATTATGTTGAATCTTTTCAGCTCATAGTCAGTTATATTCTGAAATGAGAGAGAAAAAGACAATCTCAAGAAAGCTGCAAAATTAAAAGTTAATTTAAATGGGGATCAATGTATAGACTGAATTATATTCTTAATTGTGTTAAGCAGTGACTTATTTTAAAATTGGCCTGTTCATGCATTTACACAGCCATCTAATCTGAGTTAAAGCTTAACTTTTTATTACTAGCATTCTAAAATACAGTATAGTTAGGAATTTAACCTAGAATGTTGCAGGTTAAAGTGCACTGGTTAATGAATTATTCTGAAAAAGACAGACAAGCTCTCTTGTTTGTTATTTCTCCTTTCCAGTTCTATCACACTTTCCAGATACATTTTTCTGTCTTCTCAAACTTTTACTGAAATTAGTGGAAATTATGATTAAATATTGATGGGAGACTAACCCATCATACTCTTGCAACACTTTTCTGTGATTCTTCATGCCCAGTTTTTCATTGGGGTAGGAAATAAGTGGCAGAACTTCAGATTTACAGCCTGACCTTAAAAAGTTTCTGTCATTCTTTGTAGATTTTCGAGGGATATGTATATTTTCTTGCAGTGCAAAATTGCTGGTATAATTTCCATGCTTGTTGTTACTTGACTACCTTGGAGCACAAATAAGTGACTTAGAGGAAGTGAATAATCAGATCCACAATTCTATGCATTCACAAAAGAGGAAGACAGCAGATGGAAAAACTTATTATATGCAGGAACTGGAAGAAGGAAAATATATCTAAAAGAGAGTCAATTTATGTTCTGAAGTAAGTTTTTTCTTATAGTTGATACTCTGGAGCAGGGGTGGGCAATTATTTCAAGTGGAGGGCTGCTTAACAAGTTTTGTTGAGCTGTCAGGGGCCACATAGGTAGCCTGCCCCTTAACAGTTTCCCCACCCCCCGTCACTACATTGGGACCGGAAGTCCTGCCCCCTAACCCCTGACCTTTGCTACCAGAAGTCCCTCCCCTTGCTGTCCCCCAATACTCCTTTTGGGAGCGGGGGGGGGGGGGGGGGGGGCACTTTAC